TCTTACTCCTCCTTCGGACCAAAGTTTTCCTTTGTTTCCGCTCGAAATAATAATAAATAAATATTTCGACTTGTTTTTGTTCTTAGGTTTTTGTCCATGGTCCATCGTAGGTTATGTTTCCACTATCTCTGGTTGTACTTCCCGCTTGTCCTTGCTGTTTTATTTACTTGGCTGTGTTTTTGATCCCGGTGGTCCCACCCACCTCCCCCAGACCTCCTGCCCAAAACCCGACTCTCGTGTCCTTCGTGTCGCCTCCTGGGGCCTTCCCTAGGAGGCCGCCTGCCGGGCCCCGTTCCGTCTCAGGGTTCCACCCCGCTTCTTCGGTGTGTCGCCCGCGCTTGAGTCCTCCGGCTCGTACTCCCGCTTCCGTCTCGCGCGTCCTTCTCAGTCCCCGGCCCTCTGGGAAGCTCCTGCTCTGACGCCGTCCTTTCTCAGGTCCCCGGGCCGGAGGCTCCGGCTTCTGGCGTCGAGAAGTCCCCGGCCCCGGAGCTCCCCGCTTTCTTGTTCTGTCGAGGCCTCCAGCCTGGCGTCCTGGGCCCACAGGTCGGGCTTGTCCTATAGGCCTTCGGGCACCCTGTCCGAAAGCCGTCCTAGCGGGGGTGCCCTTCTCCTGGTCCTCAACCGTCCTGGGGGCCGTCTTTCAACAGCCCGCCCTGGGGGTCTCCTTTGTCCTGTATCCTTAACCGGTCCTGGGGGGCCATCCTCTCATCAGCCGCCCTGTGCAGGTTGCCCTGACCTGTACCTCGACCGTCCTGTGGGTCGCCTTGGAGGGTTGGCCGTGTCCTGGTATCCCAACCCGTTCCTGGGGGCGCCGGCTTCTCATCAGCGCCCGCCCTTGGGGGTGCCCTGTCCTGTTGATCCCCCAACCGTTGCTGGGGGGCCGTCTTTTCAATCAGCGGCCCTTGGGGGTTGCCCTGGTCCTGGTACCTTCAACCGTCCTTTGGGCGGCCGTACCTCTCATTCAGCCGCCCCGGAAGGTTGGCCGGTGTCCTGTGTCCCAACCGTTCCTGCGGGCCATCTTCTCATCTGCCGCCCTGGGCGGGTTGCCAATGTTCCTGTAGTCCACGGCCTTTGTACGACGACCCGGCCTTGGTACTGGCCGACCCACGGCCTTGGAACCGGCGACCCGGCCTTTGGTACCGGCGACCCCGGCCTTGACCCCGGCCTTGGTACCGGGGACCGAACCCGGCCTTGACCCAGACCCTTGGTACCGGCGACCCTGTCTTGGCCCCCGCAACCTTGGTACCGAACATCCCCGGTCATTGACCCCGGGCCTTGGTACCGACGGGACCCGGTCTTTGACTTGTTGTGTACGAACCCCCGGCCTTTGGTACCGACGACCCCGGTCTTTTACTTTGTTTCTTAGGTATTCTGTCTTGTGTGTCTTTGTCCCGACCATTGGACCGAGACCCCTTACTGTGGTGTACATCGGACCTGAACTCGCTGTGTTGTTGTTTGTATTTGTTGTTAACCTCCTAGGCATCTGCGGGTTTTTACGGTCTGGCTCAAGGTCTCTTGCCGAGGACAAACTGTCCTTCGTCCTTGACCCCTTTCTTCGTCTGAACTTGAGGTCTGTCCTTGTGGTGGTTTAACGCGCACCACAGTTTTACCCTTAACCCTCCGTCCTCGGTCGACGGGCCCCGGGTCGTCCGTCCCCTATTGTTTTGGGCTCCTCCTTTGGTTTAGGCGTCGATCCATCCTTAAAGTGGTTCAGACCAAAGAGGTTATCAATAGACCGGGGCGCGGAGATGGCTCTTTTGTCTTGGTAGGAGCGTCGTTTTTGGGTTGTTAGTGTGTGTGTGTTGTTGTATAATCGTTTTTGGGTATAGGATTGTGTCTAGACGACCCGGGTAATAGACCATAAGTTGTTTGTCCATCTTTCATCCTTGTGTGTTTGTCTTACTCTCCTCCTTTGTTTTCCGGGCTCGAATAAGTTGTTTTCGACTTGTTTTTGTTCTTTTAGGGTTTTTTGTCCATGGTTCCATCGTAGGGTATGTTTCCACTGTCTCTGGGTTGCTACTTTCCCCTTGTCTTGCTGTTATTTTATTACTTGCCTATTTTTCCCCAACCCTGACACAACCCTCCCAAGTTGTCCCAACCCTAGGTATTTCTACTTTTACTTTATACAAATCTAAGTACTTTTGCCACCTCTGGTTTTATCAGCTTCCCAGTGGAACAGTTTATGGGAAAAATCAGGCAAATGTTGACACAGTCAGAATCAGAGTAAGCATTCTTAACTTATAGGCTATTATGCCATTTATCCCCCATTCGGAATTTGACTGTATCAGAGAAGAGGTAGGCCTATGTCTAAAGAAATCTCATTTGCAATAGAACTGTACCAGATATTTCCATACAACTACTGGTTAGTGTTCAATAGCACCCTAGACAATTCAGTAATGGTATATTTTTTAGGGATTTCTGTTTTTCTGATCAATGAGAGAAAAGTGATTGAGTCCTATGTTCCTATCACCAAAAAGTACAATTTCCGTCTAAACTAAAACTAAGTTTACAGGACTATAATTCAGTATTTTTTTAGTTAAATAATTGTCTGACTATTTAGTGATGTAGGACAGCCACCTGGTTCATACCTCAGCAAATCTGAAGAGGAAAAGAGTTGTCATTCTCAAGTTATGGGCTTTTTAGTCACCATCCCCATATTCGGCCTGGTCTAATTTGGCTCTCTTTCAGGGATTTGGGTAGTTCTAAAGAACAACCCAAAAAAACATTTTTTCCCCCAAAATAAAATTTGACAACAATCAATTTAATTAATGGGAGACCCTAAAGATAAGAAAAATCATTGTTGTCATTTGTTCTACCTCGGGTAGGGGTATCTCAAAATCTGAGGGCCCTTCCCAGTCCGGAAGAGGGCAGTAAAAGCGTTAAACCTCGTAGAAGAAGAAGAAGAAGAAGGCTTTCTGTCAGTCAGCTGCCTTTTCCATTAAATAAAAAACATGACGATGTTGACAACTACGACGCTCTCAGTGCAGCTGCACTAAAAGCACAGCACTGGATGGATACAGCGAGGGACACTGGATATTCTGTTTAACTAAATAAGTTAAAAACTGTGAGTGACGATGTAGTATTAGTGTGTTGTCTGGTGTTTAACAGAGGCTAGCTACGTTGCTAATGTTAGCTAGAATTAGGTAACGTAGCCATGTAAATAGCTGATGTTACGGGGCGTGAACTCCTATTTGTTTGCGTTACATGTATTTTACACTATAGACACTGGGGGTATTAATGTCAGTTAGTTTAAGTTACTGCTTTTCATGTTGTTTGACTGATTTCACCTTTGACGTTTCACTAAAGACAATTTTTAAAAAAAGGTCCACCTTTACCAACTGTACTGAGCTAACGAGAAGTTAGCATTGCTTGACAACTGACAGCAACGTATGTTAACGTATGCGGCTAGCTAACGTGAGTCTTATAGCTTCTTGGAAACGAGTAACAAAATAGTGTCATTCATTTCAAATCACTTATTAACATGAGTTAACCAGGATCGTATTCTAACTAATTTGCATGTATCAAAGGTACGCAACTTTTGCCAATTTTAGCTAACTAACTCACTTCCGCAGGTTCTTCGAGTTCTTGGTTCGGGACACACACCATTTTTATAAGTTGATAAGTGGGCCGCAAACACTGCAATGCCTCTGCTGTTTTTGGAGAGGTTTCCTTGGCCCAGCCTGCAGACCTACACTGCCCTGAGTTTGGCTTTGCTTGCTGGCAGCATCTTTAGTGCCTACACCACTGTGACAGACCCGGGCTTTGGGGTCTTGGAACCAGACGAAACACCAGCTGCCCCTGATGTGGATCTTGAACATCTAAACAATGATATTACTAACACAGAACTGGCAACCACTGTCCTGTGGTATCTTGTCACTGACAGTCTCTTTGTATGGGTGAGTACTGTCACCTAGTCTTTAACTATTAATGGCTAAATTAGATTATGTGTTTCTTATGAAAACTAATTGTGACTATATTCTCTGTCCTCCTCCAGGTCTTGGTTAACACATTCTGCTGTTCTTTGATGTTAATAGCTAAAATGATTCAGTTTATGGTTTTCGGCCCGCTCAGAGTCAGTGAGAAGCAGGTGAGTTAATGTGTGAAAAATATACTACGTTAAATTATTGCATTTTAATGTATACAAATGACCAACTAGTTATTTATTTCGTTAGTTAAGTTATTCCCAATGCTTAAAACATGTTAAATAATATCTCCACTGTTAGTCACGGTACCAGTTAATGAGTTTTTGTCCACTTCTAAGCCACATTTTTATGATACGCTTTATAGATCTTGGTCATTTAACTATAGATGTTAAATGGATAAAGGATCTTGGTCATTCAATGTCTGGATTTTACCTTATTTAAAAAACAAACTTGGCAAACATTTCTGATAAGCTCGCAGCCTCTTCGTCTGCTGGGGAAATACAGATTGTTTACCTTGCAGAGCCAAGCAACTATGGAAATGGTGGTGAAGACAATCATGATTCCACATACCTTCTGCTTCAAGGCACTACCAAACTCTCTCTTTTATTACTATTTGAAAGACAGACCTCTAGATGCAGGAGTTTCACATGTTTTGCCTTAAGATGATGATTGAAACTACTTTCATGCCGCTGTGTAGACCTGCCAGAGAAATGCATCTAATTTTATGTTTTTGTCTATTCCTCAGCACCTGAAAGATAAGTTCTGGAACTTCATCTTCTACAAGTTCATTTTCATCTTTGGCGTATTGAACGTGCAGACAGTGGAGGAGGTGGTCATGTGGTGTTTATGGTTCTCCGCCCTGGTCTTTCTCCACCTCATGGTGCAGCTCTGCAAAGACAGATTTGAATATGTAAGTCATTTAAATTTAACATTGTTTTCTTCTTCTGACTTATTTCAGTGCCCCTAACCATGGTTTATGGCTAGAGGGTATGGTAATCTGAACCAGGACAAGACACCACGTTCATTAAACTATTGGAATTATGAATAAATGATGTTTCATCCAACGTTTGATCCAATCCAACTTAGAAGAGTTACAACAAGTAATGATATTGTACCAACCAACTAATTACTCTACAATACAAAACAGCAGTATTATCAATAACATATTAGACAATGCACGATATTTCTGGATGGCCCACTAAAAGTAAAAAACATTTATCATACATGGATGCCTTTTCTGGAACCTTAAAGCTCTTTAAAGTGTTTCCTTTCTGCATTTCAAGCCAACATCTCACTGTTGTCATGGGGGCTGTTTTTTCTGCTACAGAGCTGTTATTAGTTCAGACGGGACACAAAGGTTACTTTTAGAAATGTCAGTTATACACAGTTTACCAATGACTTGGAGGCATTGGAAGTAGCTATGTCATCAAGAAAACATAGAGATCCATACATTAAACAAATAACTCCAAATCTTGTTTAAAAAGTGAAGAAATGCAATAAAATGAGAATGATAGGGTTTAATAGACAGGTCTACATGTCCCTGTTTGAAACCTGTTCCTATTTATTCTACTCAGTAAACCTCATTGGAAGGTAGCTATAAGCCTGGCATTGACAAACACCTACAGGTACTTTTATAAAGTGGTCTTTTTGAAAGGTGTGGGGAGTGTCCTCTAAAGGTCTGACAGTAACTAGACTCTCCTCAGCTTTGAATCTAAAAATAGTTCCTTTCACTGGCATGTGAGGGCGCTTATTGGCACGTCCCCGTATCCGATTGTGGTCTGCATGTTGGGGTAAACAAAATATCAAATGTAATCGTCCTCCTTACAAGCAGTGACATTTAAAATGGGCATTAAGTGGGTATGCTGCCTGTGATGTAATGCTGACTCAATGCTGTCAAAATGTACCGTTTTGTGACTGTGTCCTTTACTACACATGGTTGTTTGTTTAAGAGCGTAACTGTCTGGAAGTGTTCGGTTTTGCATCTTAGCTTTGACTCTATGCATTTTGCATGTTTTATTTCCGTCGAGGTCTGTCAGTTGTGTTGGCACAGCTGTCTTCCTTACTGTGCATGTGGTTCTAGCTTTTTGGGTCAGGATGACGCTTGTAGGTAAAACTTCTAAAGATCATAGAGATAAAGGTTTGTCAATGTGCTTGGATTGATGGTACCTGTTTTTTTCCTTTAACTTACTTCCTAGATTGTATTATATTGCCTATAAACAATGTTCTATTTCGCTTTACAGCCTTTCTTAGTTAATGGGCCCAATACTAAGGCTTGTGTGTGCATGAGAGCAGGTTTAACCCAACAACATTATGCTGGCTTAATTCATTATTTAATAGGAATATTCTTGTGAGTTTTACCATTTCATTAAACAGTTTGCCATCAAACCAATAAGGCTCTTTGAGCCGAACACAGAGCCATCCTCAACAAGGCTGGACAGTGACACTGAAGAGGAAGACTCTTAGAGTGTGAGGCCCAGGAAGAGCCCGTTGACTGAAAGGGTTTAGCCAAAATGCAGAGGATTGCTTGAAGGAAGATTTGCATGTTTGATGGGACTTTTTGGAGGGAGAAGGGCTTTTTTCATTTAACATTTTGAATTGGACTTTGTGAGGATCTTTGGATGGGGTGTGACTTTTTGTTCATTTTTTAATGAGTGGGGTTGGGGTGGATGAGTAACATTTAACTCAACATTCCTGTTTTCGTTCTTCAATGAAACAAATAATTATTGAATAAAATAATTAAAACTTGTTCTGTTCTACTTAAAAAAAAATCTGTTGAAATGTCATGTTTTTTTTTGTTTAATTTTGCATCGAATATTTCCAAAATTCCCCAGTTTAACTTCCCATGGAAACTTTCCGCCGCTTTGCAACCCTAGTTCTAACAGACCCTCATAAACCATCACAAGCTCTCTGAAAAGACAATACAAATATTTGGATGTAATGAATAAACTTTGACTCATAATTCTAATTTTCTTCCCTGCAGCTGTCGTTCTCCCCCTCCACTCCCATGAACAGCCATGTGCGAGTGCTTTGTCTGCTGGTCTCCCTGCTGTTGGACTGTTGTGGTCTGGCCATTGGCTGTGGGGGTCTGCTGGGAGCTTCTCATGGCATGCACACCTTCAGCTTTATGGCAGCAGAGGTGAGAAACAAGGAGACACAACTGTAGAAAAGTGGGTGTCCTAGGTATGGACAAAGGCAGGATGATTGAGGGCTCATATAAATGAAGCTTCAGGTTAGGACTATATATTTCTTAAAGATATATCAGTTTATGTCAACAATTGTTATTTTAACTTATGTCTCAAATGAGCCTTGGACAATCTGTATGTGTGTTTCATGTGCAATACTGCAAACATGTTTTTTAGAAAACAATAGGACAATAAAGCAGGAAAAGCTTAGTTTTCATTTAAAATATGTATAGTGGTTGCATTTCATTTGATGTGTGCCAGTGACCCAGTTTTGAGCATGCCGGCTCAGGAGCATGGCTCTGGGGGCTCTGGGACAATCCCTAATGCTCTCAGTAACAACTGCTTTGTCTGCTATGACAAGGCATAATCTCTGGTGGAAAAGTAGTATTTACTTGATCCAGAAGCTGCAGAAGTCTCCATAAAGGAACACGTTTAAAAAGAGAGGTTTAGTTTTATAAATACACACATTAACTCTGCAGCTTTATCTAATTTCCTTTTTAATTGTTTAATCCACAGCTGACATGTAATATTTGGGATCTTATCAATATCTCTATGGAACATTGACTACCATTATGTCCTTTTTCTCCTCAGTGTCTGCTTGTGACTGTACGCACTGGGCATGTCATCATGCGGTAAGTCCCTTCAAAGGCTCCTTATATTACATGCATGCACGTGAGCATGCTGCAGCACTGCAGATGAGATAGACTGTGCAGATTTAGAATTGGGGGCTAATGTTAGTCGTGCCCTTGTTTTTCTCTGGTTCTATTACACTAGTGTGAAAGGTTTCTTTGTCCCAAAGAGAGTGGCTGGGATTATAAGAGCAGCGGATACAAATCTAATCGGCCGCGGTGCGCATATATACTTACGGATTTATCTAACGTTGTGTTAACGTGTGTCTCTACACACCATATGTTGTTGTTTGAATATTTCAAACCAAGCATACTGGCATAACGCTGTTAAACAGATGTTAGTCTTTCCTCTTGTTAGTTATCCTGAGATGTTAGTTTGCAGCTTCTGATGGCAATGTTGCCTGTTTAATCTGCCCAAAACACCATCTTCATTTTATGAATTTACAATTCCCATTCACGTTAAAGGCTGTATCACCACCATTCAGTTTAAATATCACCAGTGTTATAACAGAGTTATACATGTCACCGCAGATATTCTATTCATCTGTGGGATCTGAACCATCCAGGGACCTGGGAGAATAAGGGCACATATGTCTATTACACTGACTTCGTTATGGAGCTGGCTATGCTCTTCCTGGACCTGATGCATCATATCCATATGCTGGTAAGAAAAAAGTGAAGCATGTGTCTCTATGTAGCGTCATCATCATTTCATCTGCCCCTCTCTCATGTATTACTCTCAATCTTTAATCATTCTGTATCATTAGCTCTTTGGAAACATCTGGCTGTCCATGGCTAGCTTGGTGATCTTCATGCAGCTGCGGTATCTCTTCCACGAGGTCCAGCGCCGTGTCCGCAGACACAAGAACTACCTTCGTGTCATCAACAACATGGAGGCCAGGTAATAATATATATATTTGATTGCATTTTTATGTCATTGTTTTGTAGTTTTTTGTTGGTATAGTTCAATTGTTTCTCATAAATCCATCGACCACCAACTGTTTCATCATTATGTACTCTTATTTTTATCTTTGCAGATTTGCCGTGGCAACTGCAGAGGAGCTGACAGCTAATGACGATGACTGTGCCATCTGCTGGGATACCATGTTGACCGCACGCAGACTACCCTGTGGCCATCTCTTCCACAAGTAACGTGTTTTTTTAAGCAGCATCCCTGCTTGGACTTAAACTGGCTTCCTACATAGCTTACAGAATAAAGATGGCTGAAGGAGAGGCTAAAGGAATTGTAGGCAACTGGATATACCATCCCTGAATAAAGTATCCTTCATTTGGTTAGTTCCCAAAACAGACCCGACTGTGGAACTTGTATTAGCTTTTATAAGATATTTTTTGTTTGGATATGTATCTCCTGCCCTCTCATTATACCAGTTTAAGCTTCCCTGCACACATTCTGATGTTAAGCTATAGAAGACTTGTTCTGATACCTTAAATAATGTCAGGTTCTATGCAGAGAAATGCCATTATAACATTAGCGAATTGTGGTTGTGTTTCCAGCTCTTGTTTGCGCTCATGGCTCGAACAGGACACCTCCTGTCCAACATGCCGGACATCCCTGAACATCAATGGGGACGGGGCCCCGGCGAGAGGCCAGCAGCCAGGCGGGGGCTTGGAAGACAACATCGGCCCCGTAGGAGCCGCTCCAGAGGCCAGACCACACATCAACCACCACAATCACTTCTTCCACTTTGATGGTGAGTCTGTCACACACAAGAGGCGCTTTCACACCGGAGTACTTTTCCCGTATTTTCCCAGAAATAGTTCCGATAGTTCCTGCGATGTTGCGTTCACACCAGGGAACCTTTTCACCCCTTTTTAGTCCCTGCTAGAGAGCAGGTACTTTCCTGGGAGAAAAAGGTTCAGATTTCTGATTGGCTGGGCGAATTGCAAACCACGCCCCGTAAAACTCTGAAAAGTTTTTGCGAAGCCACCATTTTATTTCCTTGCATTAGCATTATTACCATTAGCATTAGCCCAGCGCACCAACGGAGAGAGAATAACTTATGGCAACACAAAATAAAACGTGGGATCGGTGTAGTGATGAGGAGGTGTCGCGCTTCCGGTGATTTACCCGGGGCTTCGGGTGGCGATTTACTACCACCCAAAGTCCCGGAGTCCGGGGGGGCTCCGGGACTTCGGGGGGCAGTATACGCCGTGAAGTTGTTGCCTGCCAGTAAACCCAAAGCAGAAGAAGAAGAAGTGACGTCAGCGGCTTAATTTGCGTAATCCTCCCTCAGGGACTTATTCCGGTGTGAACGGCTGAACGCGAATTACTAGATAGTTCCGGGAACTATTCCTGGGATAAGTAGTTGGTGTGAAAGCGCCTAAGGAAGGTGTTGTGGAAGTGACCTTACCTTATCAGGCTGTGAATGACAATACATTCTAAAATCCATTCATTCTCTTACAGGATCTCGCATTGCCAGCTGGCTGCCCAGCTTCTCAGTGGAAGTAATGCACACCACCAATATCTTGGGCATTGCTCAGGCCAACAACTCTCAGCTCATGGCCATGGTGAGTTCATGTTTACAGTCTGTTGACATTCTTGTTGGTTTTATGAGAGGTGATACACAGATAGCAATTTGAGGCCACGTATTTGGTTTTGGTATAGTTGATATGCATAAATCCAGTTCTGTCATCAATTAGTCACTCTCTACTCCCTGTCTGTCTGTCTGTTTATAAGTAGCCAATGTTGCCTGGGTTTTGTACCATGACCCTTATTTGACTTCCTGGTTAATGCGTGTTGACACAGAGATAACAACTTTATTTAATCAACTGAGTCATTTGAAAACTGTTGATTACAAAAGATGCCAAGGGTATTTAAGTGAAAATGTAAACCGCTTTATACCTAAAAAGATCATGTATACTGTATGTTTCAGACCCGTTTCTTTCATTTTTTCAAGTCACAACAAAGTTTTCCATCTCCAATAATCACTCTCTAAATAATGTCCCTATTGCTTTTTTAATGTTTGATGAACCTTGTGGTCATCAGGCCCATCAGATCCAGGAGATGTTCCCTCAGGTGCCCCCCTACCTGGTGATGCAGGATCTGCAGTTGACCCGCTCTGTGGAGGTCACCACTGACAACATCCTGGAGGGACGCATCCAGGTGCCTTTCCCGACACAGGTCACTCAAATATTTCTCGGATCTCTGTTTGACTTCCCTTTGGTTTACCTAAAGCAGTGGTCACCAACCTTTTTAAGCCCAAGATCACCGACCTCGGCCTAGGTGAAAGGCGAGATCTACCTATTGCAGAATTGAGTGAAAAAGACGGCCCAAACAATGCTTCCAATTTGAGGCCTTTTATATAGGCTAATTGCATCTGAATTACTGTTACAATGAAGGCTCCATGTTCAGCTCACGGCATATAGGCAGGGGTAAAGTGCTATTGGGGGGTGGACCTCACCTCACCTCCTCAAGAGGGGTCCGGGGGGATGCTCCCCCGGGAAGATTTTTTTTTTAATATTGAAGTTGAAAGCATCAATCTGGTGCACTTTGAGAGCAACATGAAGAGTTCACTGTTCAAAATTGAAATTGAGCATTTTTATTTCTCTGAATGTATTTAAGGCACGTCTAAATGAAATGCTTTCTGACACTCTGGGAATTTGTAAATGTTGAATATGTAAATATGATATCCTCNTACTTTGAATTAAGGTTCCAGTTTCAATAAAACCTGTACTATTTACACCTATGTTTTAGAGGCTTGCAATTTAGAACTAATACACTTTATTGTATTGGGTTACTACCCAATACAATAAAGTGTATTAGTTCTAAATTGCAAGCCTCTAAAACATAGGTGTAAATAGTACAGGTTTTATTGAAACTGGAACCTTAATTCAAAGTACAGTATACAATTCTTCAAATAATTCAGTGAGAGGTCAAGTATATAGATACTAGAATATAATGTTAAATGTCAGGTTCCTCAGAAACGTTAGGTGATGTTGACATTCTGCACAGCAGGTGCAGAACTCCGTACAGCAGTGACCACCAACTGGCGGCCCGCGGGCCACATCCGGCCTGCCAGACATTCTCATCCGGCCCGCACAACGGGGGTCACTGTGGCGTTGGCGTAGTGGCTACTACGTTCGCCTCCCATTTTTTTTACAACGTTTCGTGAGTAAGGTGCAGTACCGGAGTCCAACAGAGAGGCAGCAGCTGCGGGTTAGTAGATTGCGTACTGCGAAACCTTCCCTGCCTTGAAGAAGAATTGATCCTTCTTGTGAAGAGGCTGGTTAATTAGACCCTCCAGAAAAACGCGATTTTGCGATCGCAGAATTTACCGCATAATCAGCAAAATGGCGCAGATTTTTAAAAAGCCGCATATTTATCAAAAGGCCGCATAATCCCTGCATTTTTCCACACAAAGTTGAGAAGAAAAAAAAATGAACTCGTCTTGACGTGACGTCATCAGCTCGCGCATCACAGAATGTAAACAACACTGTATAGAGCTCATTTACCAACGAACATTTATACTAAAGACCGGTCAAAAAGTGGGGGGAAACTATTCTGCACCCCGTGCAACTGTGTGTTGCAGCATAAAAGAAAATCGACGGTGGCGACCCACTTTGATTCATTCAAACATTCGAAAATGCTTTCTGCTGCTGCGGACAAGAAAGCCATTCAACTCCCGTTCACCNTTTGGCTTTTCTTGCTGGGGGGGGGGGCTGCGGTGCGGTGCGGTGCCCCCACAAATAGAATCAAATTCTGTGGGAAACACTGTTGTTATTCTCCCTCTTCATGCTACTACTAGCCAGGAGATGCCAAGCCCATATTTGTTAATTGCTCTTTATGGTACCATATAACATTTTCCAACACAAAGATGTCGGTGCATGATCACTAGGTTTTGGATTATACATGTATTTACACGGTTATAGTGAACGGCTTTCATTTCTATTGATAAATGCACTTGTATCTTGTCTGCTGGACCTACAGTGTTTGCTTGGAGTCCAATGTGCTGATCTTAACCCATTTGAGTAAAGTCCACAGTGGGGCCGGCAGCCACTGTAAGTTATCTGCTCTGTGACTGTTCCTTTGTGTGTTATCTCTGTCCTGTGTTACTGGAGGCTGCTGCTCTGCGGTCCAGAGACCCCAGACCCTGCCTTTGTCTCTTCACACCCCCTTTGTGTCAGCACTGAGCCGGTCCTTTCCCCGGCCGGCAGCCGTCCCCCCCTCGGGGGAGTGTCGCTCGAGGCTGCATTGAACAGGTGAGCCGCTGTTAGCCGAGAGTGAAATTTCTCTCCAACTGGCCTCTGCAGGACTTAGGTGGGGATGAGGAGGTGAGGAAGGGATGGGGGGGGGGCAGAGGGGGGAAGCTCCTCACAAAGCGTCTTTCATTAGTACCAGATAAGCTGCAGGAGAGTCACTGGGATGAGGCAAAGTCACAGGTAATAGGAGAGAGAGCCGGAGCGCAAATGAGATCCCCTGTTTTTAACGGTCACTAAAGAGCTGCCCTTTTTACACATGTGTTTTTGTTTTTCCTCAAAGATGCGGGAAGCCTTGAAATAAAAGTCTACCTCACAAAAACAGAAAGCCTTTCACTACGAGTGCTCACACAAACATGGAGAGGAGAAGAGAGGGAAAACAGATCGGAAATCTTACCTCCTGCGATCTTGAGGAATTCCTCTCCTGTGGCCTTGTACACCTGAGTCGACAAGAGGTGAACTAGATTTAGGCATTGGAGCACTTTATTTATTAATCATTTAGTTTAGAAGACATTTCAGAGATTTACACAAAAGAGCAAAACTTAAAAAGTGATATTGTGTTTAGAAAAGAATTCAAAGAAAAGAGAGAATAACCTCAATGTAGCGGCTGCCCATGTGGTGCTTGTGACGTTCGAGAGCCAGGTCCCGGTGTTCAGAGTTTATGAAACGAACTAAGGCCTCACCGTTCCTCCTGCCTTGAGCGTTCAGACACAGGGCCACGCCACCCCTGAAACACAAAGAGACAAACATGAGTACCAACACAGATCATTTGGTGAAGAAAAACTCCAGGAAAGCTATTTTAAGCTTTAAAGCGAGGTCTCATTCCGGCACAGGTCTTCCTACAAAGTGATAGATAAAATGAAATGAGAGCTATAAATATACGTAACACATTTGCCCAAGAACAGCGGCAGATCAAAGCGTTGCTAATTAAAGCAGCTCCAATCCTAATATTTCCGTACTTTTTTTATATTCAAGTTAATCTTTTAAATATTTTACAGCCATGCCTTGAGGTTTCATGGATTTTCTTACAACTATTTTGTCCCACTGTACAAAACTGATAAGTGTCTTTAAACACATGACATAAGCATTTTACATTCATCTTGGAAAGCTCCATTGGACATTAAAATAAGCATTTTATACGACCTTGAAAACACTGAAAATGCCAGAGCAGTGAAATCAAATCTGCACCCTAATACTTTGAAAGCTCTATAAATCACTTTAAATGTTTTCCTGTAGGAGTTTTAATAAAGATTATTTGATTAAGGTGATTTAAGGAGTTGTGTCTATCAAGTCCGACATACTTGGCAATGCTGAGGCCTTTAAAGAAGCGAGCGATGTCTTGGTCTGAAGACTGCCATGGAAGTCCCCGCGCTCTGATCACCGTCTCGCTGTCCACCGGCTCTGTTTTGCTGCTGAAGAGGGTAAAAAAAACATTAATGACATATAAACAAAACTTACTAAAGAGGAATTATAAGAAAACAGTTTATTCAAAACATTGCAGATTAGTTTAGCTTTAAGAAAAAGCACCACGCTGTTGTTAAGTTTGATCAAACTGTCTACAGATTGCAGACACAGAGGCCACTCACAGTAAGTGCTTACCACTGTAACACATGATTAAATGTCAGGGGGGTTGTCAAGGTGATAGGCTTTTCCCTGTCTGAGAGCAGCAGGATTTGGTGTTCTGCTACTAGATAGCCAGGTAAGCACTTGATGGCAAAGTTGGACAGCTTTAATGACACACTTGTGGTTTCCTAGTAGCTGTAATCAATGCTAAAGGCCTGAGGTCTGAAAATGGCTGCAGGAGGGGGGGCGGGCAGTCTGTACACAAACAGGTGTGTTAGGAACAGAGATTGAGTGAGATACATGTACATAAATAAAAAGTGTATACATACCAAGTGCCAGAATCGAACTTGTACTTCACCGTTTCCACACAGGAGAACTTGTGGTCTAAAATAAAACAAAGACATATAATTGTATGATTGAGTGTGCCGTTTCATCCTGTAGGTCCAAAACAATGTTCTCTCCTTTCTGTGGTGGACAGGTTCACCCTGCCAACAGTGTGTGTTTCAAGCCCTCTGCATTCCTCTTACTGTCACACCCAAAGACATGCTTGGCTGTTATTAAGGGGGTAAAGCCAGAGGCGACTGTCACAGTCGAGATGCAAGATGTCGATTAAAGTTTGATTTATTTGCACTTCAACATATCTGGAGTCATACAACATCCATCTATACTTCAGTTAATCATCTAATGTTTGTTTAAGTATAGAAGGACCTCTGGCTAGTAATAATATAATCAAGATATTATGTGATTAACAAACTACCACACCTTAAAGTTAGAAGTGTTTTTCACTGTGACATTTGGGTTTGTTCAAAGATTCCATGCTATTCAAATGTGCAAGAGAGGTTTTGTTAGAATACAAAGACTTTGGCAGTCACAGAGTTGATTTTATATCCCCAGGTAATTACACTGGTAACTGCTTGGGAACATTGCGCTTCTTTATGGGTTTTTTATAGCATATCTGAGCAAAAAAAAAGGGTAAGAATGAACTCACTGCAACTAAAAGATGGAGCTTCAACATGCCTATAAGCCTACAGCCTAAAAGATGGAGCTTCAACATGCCTATAAGCCTACAGCCTAAAAGATGGAGCTTCAACATGCCTATCAGCCTACAGCCTAAAAGATGGAGCTTCAACATGCCTATCAGCCTACAGCCTAAAAGATGGAGCTTCAACATGCCTATCAGCCTACAGCCTAAAAGATGGAGCTTCAACATGCCTATAAGCCTACAGCCTAAAAGATGGAGCTTCAACATGCCTATCAGCCTACAGCCTAAAAGATGGAGCTTCAACATGCCTATCAGCCTACAGCCTAACTTTTGCCCGAAATGAATGAACAGAACTTTCCCACTAAAGACAAAACCAGTGGATTAAATGTGGTGGTGACTTACTGTAGGGCTCAGCCAGGAGGTGGAGGGTCAGCTGCACCATGCTGCTCACCTCCGTCTCTCCCATCGACTGCTCCGACACAGCTGGGAGACCAACATCTACACTCACAGTTAAGGAAACTGTCCAGGATACTATCCTTTGTGTGTACTACTTGCTGATGTGACTTGCTGTAGGGTTTTAGGCCTACTTTATCAGTTAACCAAAACTAAGAAGAAAGAAAGACCATTTTGTCTTATTCCTGAAATATACAGTTAATGGCAGCATTTAGAACAATCTCTCAGTGATGTTAGTAAGGATACATTCCAACATGGAGGCAGGTGTGAGCTGCTGTGCAGCAGTGGCGTCGGGGCAGCATTTCTGAAAGTCTTTCTTCAAGTCCACAAATGAAAAGAAACATTCAGGAAGGACGAGATTCTGAAAAATAGACAAAAAACAAATGATTCAGTATGCCAAGATGGACACAGCAGGAAGCAATGATGAAATGTAAATATATCTTCTTGTGGTAGTAACAGGAAAGAAAAAAGAGGAAATAATAATTCCAATGAAATGCATTCATTCTTAATACTGCACAATGCAAACGTTCGTGAGGGTAACAAATCCTTACGTTGACGCGCATTTAACTGAGTTCTGGAAATTAACAGTGTGTTTGGTTTCCGCATGCTTATCACAGACACTATGAGTTCACTGGAGCCATGCACAGAGAACGACACATTGATTTGTTTAGTGGGATAACTGCAGTTAGCAAAGCTTTAATGGAAACATACACATTTAAGACATTTCATTTGAACAAAGCAATTGCCATTGTTCCATGCAAAACACTTTGTACATTGGAGATACA